GACCAAACCCCTTCGTGAACAATCATCTTGCATCTTAATTCAAGCTTAATGTCTCATTTATTTGAATTTGTTCTCATCAAAGACTCTAAACACAACAACTGTAACAGCACACAAAATGTTCGATCAAACAGGGGTCAGCAGTTCTCTCCACATCTTTGGTAACAGCTACCATCCCCACGGCTGCTAATGTGGATCCAGGCAGTAAGCCAAGAGTATCTGCAATCCAGAACAATCTGTAACTTTGTGATTCTGGCAGGCTTTGTCACATACGTGTCCTTCTCATAGTATCTCAAAGGAGCAGTTGAAATGGAGAGGTGCAAGCGTAAGAGTGAAAAAACCCCATTCCTCTCCCTCCTCCTTCTCTCTAACAGGCTTCAGAGCCTCTGTTCTTTCTACGGCTCTGCCCCGAGCATCTGTGCCCCCTGTCAGATGAGAGAAGATCCCACCCAAGGGGGTTTTATGTCAGCAAGCACATATGAAGTCCGTTTGGCCAAATCAAACTCCTCCAGATGCACTTTCAGTCAGCATTACATAAGCTTTGGATGTCATTCCAATATGGACACATTATAGACGGATGATTTAAACTAATCATGGGTGAGCAGCTCATTACTGGTAGCCAGTCCAAAGTCACTAATAGCTTTGATACATAATTTCTGTTGATTTCCCGGAGACAGAGAGAGAGAGAGAGAGAGAGAGAGAGAGAGAGAGAGAGAGAGAGAGAGAGAGAGAGAGAAAGAGTGAAAAAAAAAAAGCGAATAGGGTGCCACAGTGGAATGTGGTCCTTGAGCTATTACAGCCCATTAAATTGTTCATCCCTGTATTTTTTCCCCCTAGTACATATTTTGATGTGCTCTTACTTAGATATTCTGAGCTTTGCTGGGCAGTGTGCCTGTGTGGTGACTCACCTAATGATTCCAGCGTGGGCGGCAAGGAGAAAAAGCCACTCAAGTCTGTCCAAGTGTACTAGTAAAAGGCAATTTTGATTGGGACCCATTACAGCTCCCAAGACTTCCTGCTGTAGGAACAAGTGTTTTTGTGTTACTGTGATCATGCCTACAGTGGCTTTAAAAAAAAAAATTCTTTAGAGGTATTGCAAAGGTGTTATAAAGTCTGCAATGCTGACAATGAAAGCCTCGATGTATTGCTGTAAAAACTGGAAAGATGAAAGCGGGGGTTCCTTGTTCTGAGGACAGCACACACAGAGAATGAGTTATTACCTGAGACAGGTGTCTCCTAGATCTTTCCTGCAGAACACAAACTGACGTGCTGTCGTTTCATGCTCCACAACCCACATTGAGAGGGGAAGCACGGAGGAATAATTACTCACTGAAATGAGTATCGTGTTATGGAGAACAGAAACTAAACAAAAGAAAGGGGGGAAATGTCATTTGGAGAGGAAACATCAAGTGAAATAATAAATGAGCAAAGAAATCGTCTCAGGGAGTTTTTGGATTTAGTCTGTGATGTATGCCTTACATTACAGCTTTGCGTGTGATTGGAACTGTACTGAAGTCTCAGATTGTCTCAAATGTAAGTGATTCAAGTGTTTTCCACTCATGAGGAGTGAAATACTTTTGATACATACATTTAACAATTTGCTGCAATTATGATTTATAAAAACCTCTTCCCTTGTTTATCGCCCTTTATATATCATTAAGCATGAACGAGTGAAATTCTAAACCTGAAATTAGCTTTCTGCATGAGTCACCACCCTCTCCTCATCAGCAGTTAATCATGGTGATGCTACATCACCTGTTATTACTGCCATTGATGCTGGCACAGATGCATCCCTCTCTCTCCATTGGATGTATCTGGGCAGCAGTTGGGACCTGATTGGCTGGATGCGCGTGTCCGCAGTGTAGGAAGGACCTTTACACCCTCACATGACAGAAAATTACTGCTCAGGAAGCACCAGAAAAGATAAACTGTCGACAGACAGGCACCTTCCCACCCACATAAATTTTGGCCTTAGCAGACAAAGAGGGCCGTTTTATATGTCAGAGTGATTGTCAAGTGGAGATTAATGGGGGCTAGTGGGTGGCAGTGACTTTGTAATATTCTGCAGAATTAAGTTGGACGCTGTTTAATCTAATTGTGCCTTACAACTATTATATGCTTGTTCACATCTGAAAAACTTAGATGACAAATCCAAAAAGACACGACATTTATAATCTTCTTTAGATTGCGTCCCTCAGTCTTTGCTGGTAGTATAGTGAGAGATCAAATTTTAATCTCAAAGCATTTAAAGAGCTACAAATGTACAGTGTTCATCCTCTACAGTGGATTTCCTTTAATGCAACAGTGATTTAGGAATCCAATCACTGCTCTGTGTTAGACAGTATCAGAGAGAGACAGTAAGTTTGGATGAAACCAACTGCTGACCTCAAGTATAAGAATAGAATCTACCCATAGTTTTGCAGGATCATTTCTAACCTATGTATGGAGAAACTGAAATAACATGGCAGATGAATGTCCTATTCTCACAGTACTTTTGCCTAATTGCTTTTTCCACACAACCAGACAAAGTACAATCTTGTGATATTTCTTCAGTTTTTACAGTTCAACAGTCATATAAAAGTTTGAGATTTCCCTCAAAATTGCATTGTCTTCTGCGACTCAGCTCTCTCTGAAGAGTACTTTTCATATCCTTCCTTTCCTTGAACCTGACAGGAAGTGCCCCTTGAGATGTATCGATAATGAGCAGAGACAGGAGACTTGCGTGTTGTTAATGACTGATGGATAGCCCTTGAAAAGGACACCGCATTTACATGACGAACGAGTCAGGAGAATGATTGAGTGTGACATACAAGGCCCCGCACTGCTAAATGCAATGAGAACAACATTTATAATAACTTGTCAACAGCTTTCATTTGCATCATATGGTTGCTCCTGTTTTTCGTAGTGCTCGCTATGGCCATCAGAGTGATGAGAAATAGTGACAGCAAACTGCCTGTGTAAGTCCTTTGAACATTGAACAAGGTAATGTTCTGAGTTATTGATGCCAGAAGCTACTATATCATCCTACATTTTTTTGAAGAAAAGGTTTGTATTGCAAACAAAAAGTAGAAATATATATAAAAAAAAAACATGGCACTGCCTGCGTGCTCGCTAACTAAATATGTGGACAAAATTGTTTGTACCCCTCGGTTAATGAAAGAAAAACCCACAACGGTCACAGAAATAACTTGAATCTGACAAAAGTAATAATAAATAAAAATTCAATGAAATTTAAGCAATAAAAATCAGACATTGCTTTTGAACCGTGGTTCAACAGAATTATTTTAAAAACTAAACTCATGAAACAGGCCTGGACAAAAAATGATGGTACCCCTAGAAAAGACTGATAATAATGTGACCATAGGGACATAATCAATCAAAGTGTGTCCTCTAATTAGCATCACAGGTGTCTACAAACTTGTAATCAGTCAGTCGGCCTACTTATAGGGTTACAAGTAGTCACTGTGCTGTTTGGTGACATGGTGTGTACCACACTAAACATGGACCAGAGGAGGTGAAGGAGAGAGTTGTCTCAAGAGACTAGAAAGAAAATGATAGACAAGCATGTTAAGGTAAAGGCTATAAGACCATCTCCAAGCAGCTTGATGTTCCTGTGACTACAGTTGCTCATATTCTGCAGAAATTTAAGATCCATGAGACTGTAGCCAACCTCCCTGGACGTGGCCGCAAGAGGAAAAGTTGACGACAAATCGAAGAGACGGATAATACGAATGGTAACAAAAGAACCCAGAACAACCTCTAAAGACATTAAAGGTGAACTCCAAGGTCAAGGCACAACAATGTCAGATCGCACCGTCTGTTGTTGTTTGAGCAAAAGTGGACTTCATGGGAGACGACCAAGGAGGACACCATTGTTGAAAACAAATCATAAAAAAGCCAGACTGGAATTTGCCAAACTGCATGTTGACAAGCCACAAAGCTTCTGGGAGAATGTCCTATGGACAGACGAGACAAAGCTGGAACTTTTTGGCAAGGCACATCAGCTCTATGTTCACAGACGCAAAAATGAAGCATATCAAGAAAAGAACACTGTCCCTACTGTGAAACATGGAGGAGGCTCTATTATATTCTGGGCCTGCTTTGCTGCATCTGGCACAGGGTGTCTTGAATCTGTGCAGGGTACAATGAAATCTCAAGACTATCAAGGTATTCTAGAGAGAAATGTGCTGCCCAAGGTCAGAAAGCTTGATCTCAGTCGCAGGTCATGGGTCTTGCAACAGGATAATGATCCAAAACACACACAGCTAGAAACAGCCAAGAATGGCTCAGAGGAAAACATTGGACTATTCTGAAGTGGCCTTCTATGAGCCCTGATCTAAATCCTATTGAACATCTGTGGAAACATGCCGTCTGAAGAAGGCACCCTTCAAACCTGAGACAACTGGAGCAGTCTGCTCATGAGGAGTGGGCCAATATACCTGCTGAGGGGTGCAGAAGTCCCACTGACAGTTACAGAAATCATTTGATTGCAGTGATTGCCTCAAAAGGTTGTGCAACAAAACATTAAGTTAAGGTTACCATCATTTTTGTCCAGGCCTGTTTCATGAGTTTATTTTTAAAAATAATTCTGTTAAATCACAGTTCAAAAGCAATGTCTGATTTTCATTGGTTAATTTTCATAGAATTTTTATTTATTGTTACTTTTGTCAGATTCAAGTTATTTCTGTGATCATTGTGGGTTTTTCTTTCACTAACCGAGGGGTACCAACAATTTTGTCCACGTGTGTATATGTACAACATTTCAAATCCATTAATATAGTTTCCTGAGAGCACAGTGGGTCTGTTATAATAAATTGGCAAATGATTCCACAACTCTAATTTGTGTACTCTCCTGGTAGTGAAATGTCATCATACCTATTTAAGATAACACTTACGTGTGTCCTTGTGTTTATCGGGTGATGTGAAGCATTGGCATTAAGCAGGTTTTTTGTTTTTTCTTAATCACTGATGAACAGTATGCGGTGTGTTGTGTTTGCCTTTAGACCGTGGTTACTGTGACTGTGGGATGTGTGAGTGTGATGAAGGCTGGTTTGGAGATGCCTGCCAGTTCCAGGAGGAGTGTAACCTATCCAACAAGAAGAGCAAAGAGCTCTGCAAAAACCAACAGGGGGTGGTCTGCTCCAACAGAGGTACTGTGAACACAGACGCACACAGTTGACACACGTATAGTATACAGTAATTATAACAATAATAAGAAAATACACTCAAACATTGCAAAAAGCTTACATCTAACAGTCATCAATGCATATTTACATATACATATGCACAAACTATACACAAAACTACATGAAATATCATTTCTGTTAGTGTTTGACACTTTCCTTATGGGTACCTAACAGTTTAAACTAATAGTTCCTATAAATGTTTTATAGACTAGTAGTAAGCTACTGCTATTATTAGCACACATATGATTTCTTATGACAAAGTCTGATTAGAAATTCAGAGGTTTTTTTTTGATGCTGTCTTCATTTTCTAATAAGCTCACAAGCTTGCAGATAATAAAGTGTGTATGTCTTTGTTAACAACTTATGACTGACCAAAAGTGTGTAATTAAAATTAATATTAGCCATAATAAAACCATTAGTTACAGATTACACACCACTTCAAAGTTTCTTCTCACACATATCTATTAGTATAAACAATCTCTTTTTCACTAACACAGGTACATTAACAAATTCATGCACGGATTAGCATCATTGGGAAGACTGACGTCTTGAGTTAACAGTACTGTAAGTAAGTATTTATAATTCAGCTGGAACTTAAATCTCACATCCAGCCACAGTGCATTTGGTTCATGCAGCCAGCTTGTGTGTCTTGTCTCTGTGGACACATGATTTAGTTTCACCACACTGAAGATGCACCCTGTGAGGTGATGTCGGGGCTAAGGTTGTTTTCCACACACTGGGCTTAACCTCACCGCTGACCTGCAATGCCTCCAGTTAAATGAAGGATAAACATGTATTTATGAGTCTGTGGATGTGACCGTGTGTGTGTGTGTGTGTGTGTGTGTGTGTGTGTGTGTGAGTGTGTGTGTGAAAGCATGAGCTGTAGAGTGTGTGTGGCCTGTTTGAATGTGTAGAAATGCAAATTTATTCACGGCATGTGGCTGTCTAGCCTTATGCTTCTATAGCACATAATATAAAATGCCCCAACACACACACACACACACACACACACCACCACGTTTACCATTCAGACACCAGTCTAGACCTGTTGGCACTTGATGCACTGACAGTTCTTCCAATGCACAGCTGCAAACCAGCTGCTGCAGTCCTGGTCTTATGGTGCACTGCATCACGTTGTCACATCTACAACCTACAGTAAACACAAACACACACCCAGAAACTTGACCTTTTCCCGACAAATAAGCTTAAGCTGTTGTCTGAAGATGGTGTTTTGTCATAGGAACCTGCCACTGTGGTAGCTGCATGTGTGAAAATAATGACGGCAGGGACTTGGTGACGGGACGTTTCTGTGAGTGCGACGACAGCGAGTGTCTGGACGAGGACACCGGAGAGGTCTGTGGAGGTATGTCCTGCAGCTGCTTACTAAGTCCCTCGCTCTTCCCTAAAAAAACAACATTACTTTGGTTTATTTAAGGACAGCACAGCCTTGTCATTTTATATTGCGTAAATGCAACATATTGCTTCATATGTTAGCAGCTGTCACACCAACTGGAGGAGTTCTATGTTTGAATGAGCATATTAATATAATGCTGCCACAATTTATTCATTTAAATAGATGATAGAAAATTGATCTTGATTTACTGTCGGTAGGGACACTCATGATGACTACTGAGTCAATTATGAATACACATGTCCTCTCCAGGCACTTCACATAGTTAGATAAAGACCACACCAAATTATAAAGAGAAACCCAACAAAGCCAAATGATTTATTTGGGGAAGCTCTTTGGCGACAGCAGGAAAAGGAAGAAACCTCCAGCAGAATCAGACTCAGGGAAGGTGGTCATCTGCCTCGACTGGTTGGGGTCAGGTTAAACGAGAGCGAGAACAGTGTAGGAGTTAGAAAACAGAGAAATTGTGAAAGAACAACAAACACCGGGGAGTTTGATGAGGAAAGTAACCGCTGATCAGAAACATGTAAGTCTGCAGGAAGAGATACCTGCAGAGACGACAAAACAGAAACCATGGGAGTGAGAAGACACATAGCTGGCGACGTGGAATCGTGGTGTATAAATGTATGGAGAATGAAGGAGAGGAGAGTAGGGGAGAGGTGCTCAGTGCATCTTGGGAAGTCCCTTAGCAACCTAGACTTATAGCAGCATAACAAAGGGATGGTTCAGGGTTTTTCTGGGAAAGCTGTTGCTATAAGCGTCATCAAAAATGAATGTTTTGAGGCTAATTCTAAAGGAAGAAAAAGTGTCTGCCTCCCAAACCCAAACTGGGAGCTGGTTTCACAGGAGAGTAGGATGCTAGTTGAAGGTTTTACCTTCCACTTTAGTTTTGGAAACTCTAGGAGCCACAAGTAAGCCTCCAACTCTAAAGTTAAAGTGGTGTATTAGAATAATGTGGTACAAAAAGGTTTTAACATGCAATGTAGCTTTGTCATTAGAGGCATTTTATGTTAGGAGAAGGATTTCAAATACTATTATGGATTTTAAAGGGAGCCAACAAAGAGCGAATATGGCTGTAGCATTTTATATGAGCTGGATGTTTTTCCAGCAAGTTATTAGGACATCCTGATAACAAGGAAATTAGAATAGTCAAGCCCATAGAAGTAACAAACACATGGACGAGATTTTCAGAATCGCTCGAAGACAGGGTGTTTATGATTTTGACAACATGGATTATATGTGCAGCTGTGATGAGTTGCATCAAATCAGTTTCAGTCTGGGTCAGTGGGTATTTGAGTCAGCAGATTGAATCATACAATATGACGCCAGCAGTTCTTTTATTTGGAACATGTTTGATAACTGTGAGTGACATCAGCAACCACTGGTGTAAATATGCAGATGCAATTCTACACGCGTCTCCATCCAAGCCCTCAGCCAACCTCTGAGGTTTTATTTTTTTCCTTCGCTGGCATTTACAGACTAAATTGCCTTGCGTGCATATTGTCAAGTGTATTTACTCCTTCCTGACTGCATTAGGCAGAAAATGTATCTAAGTAGGTTGAGTAAGTAGTTTAAGCAGTGTGTTTCAGATAATAACTACTATATCACAGTTTAGGGTATGTTAGCAGCTGTAATGTAAACCCATCATTTAAGCTAGTAAAATAGAATACTTTACAAAAAATAAAAAATAAAAACAAATGAAGGGAATACTTCCTGTAACCTATAAGGCTGTAAGTAATACAAAGTGTCAGTTTGTTGTTGGTTTACATTCTTGTTTGTTCTTAGATTAACTTTACACTAACTTTACACTTTACATTAACTTTAAACATTATTTCTCCCACTTACCCATCATTAGCATGTTTCTAATTCAACATTATGCATTTTGTACAACTGAAGCTCTCAGTTTTAAAAGGAAAGAAAAGCTGAACTTTTTATTAACCTTTATTCTTCTTTGCAGTGTACTACCACTTGTTGTTTCTCCTGTATGTACTAGTGTTATACGCATCCCTCTTCCCAACAGGTTTTCTCTTGACTACTTCTTAATATATGTAGCCACTCAAAAACCTGTTGGGCCGACCAAATATGTGTCGTGGGAAAAAAATAAAACATTATTAACCTTGATAGAAGGCTTTAATCTTAAAACCTTGTCAATGAAAAGAGTAAGAATTGTTCAAACTTGTATAAATGACTGTCAATCTCTCACACTCACCAGCTCTGTCAGAAGAGAACTCATTGGTTGTTACATATGCATCCTGATCTGCTTCCAGGCCATGGCCAGTGTTACTGTGGAAACTGTTACTGTGCTGCTGGTTGGCATGGAGACAAATGTGAGTTCCAGTGTGACATCAGCCCATGGGAAAGCAAGCGGAGATGCACATCTCCAGATGGCAAAATCTGCAGCAACAGAGGTCTGTTTACCAGCTTCAAAGTCAGTATACAGTAGCTAGCAGCGTGGGTTTCCACTTTTAAAATTCTTGTTTTTTTTATGATAGCAAATTTTACTATCATTATATATCATGGCACACACAGTTATATAATGCTTACAAAATTTACCAGTTGTATATTTTTTCTCCCAACAGCCATTACGTGGATATTTATTATGAGTGGTTTACAAAGTCATAAAATACTGGAATGATGAGCATTGCCAAGAAGGAAATTTTTATGTTTGTCGCCAAAGCTTCAGACCCATTACGATCCACAGCAACATAACAACAATACAATTGTGTTGCTAGGAAACAGGAAACAAACAGTCTAAATGGGTTCAAGTTCATTTCCTGTCTGTTTGCTAGAATTATTAAGAGAAGTCCTGCAAGTATGGACACTGTATTATACGATATGTCTCTGTTTAGGTTATTCTTCTTGTTTTTTGTAAAGACATAATCGACAATGAAGATCTGTTTTCTTGTCTCCTGTTGTCTCCAGGCTTACCTTTTTTTTAAAAAAAAATGCTTTTGTTACAAAAATTGGATGTCTCATTTCACAATGCCGATCCTGAGAGTAAATACAGTATGAGCACATAAATTATACGAAAGAATAGTGTGTTATATATGAATATTAGTTTAAGACTGAAAAAGAATATGTGATCTCTTTTTAGATGTGAAGGTATTTTATAAGTCAGCATGCTTAACAAGGAAGCCCAAGGTTGCCACTTTTAGCATCCACCTTTCAAACTGAGAATGAAAAAAGATGCAGAGACAAAGAAAAGAACAGTAAGAAACATATGTGTAAAAAAAAAAAAAAGAGAGAGAGAGAGAGCGAATAGGTTAGTATAAAAAAAATCATTTAAATTCTACTGAAAGTCATCGGAGCAGGGCGGACAGGCAGTCGGAGATACAGTTACACTAACCTAGCTCAAGTGATCCTCTGGGATTTTAGTAAATCTCTCTAAAATTAATTACAGTGGACCGGCTGAGGGCTGGCTAAGTGGTAGAGTGCAGTGCTCGGCTACACGGACGGAGGCCCGTCCCAGAGCTGCGATTTATGGTTAAGTGCACAACTGACACAGCATGAACATCCACAGCATTAACAACTGTGTTTGTGGTGTAGTGGCCCGTCGTACTGGAGAGAGAGCGAAAGAAAAGAACAAAGGAAATTAAACTGCAATTATAATCAAGTTTGTCCGCTTGTAGATATTTATTGTCGCATATTTTATTTTAAATTTGACCAAAACACATTTTTTTCCAGCGTGCACTGTTGGCATGACCACATATTCTGACATATTCTGTGCCCATTATCAATCTGATGCTGTACTTAGTCCATTTCAGATCCCTTTTTGCTACATACATTAGCTTATATTAAACTGTGAAAAGAACAAATGGGATCTTAAATATTCAAATTACTGTATAATAATAATGAGTTTACTATATTTGTGTGTAAATCCCTATTGTCTGGTAAGTTCTCTGCAGGGATTGGTTAAGTTATTCTGCTTCTGATTGCAATTCTGATAAATACTAGTATTTTTTTTTTTACCCTTGCTCACAGTTTTGCAAAAATCCACTAACATATTCTAACATCTTTTTGTAGTCTGCTCCATTCATTTGTTAAACAATTCTCAGAAGTCAGACAATTCAGTGCTGATTGTAATGGGAACAATTCTGAATTCCTATCCCTGTGTGACATGCAACCATTTTACTCTGAATTAATCCCGCTTTAAAGCACTGTGAAGATAATTCCTGGTGATTATAGGCAATGGATGAAGGAGGATGATTGCATAATGGAGGCTTGATTTGATTTCATCATCCTGTATAGATGTAGAGAAGTGAAGTGTTTTGTATGAGACTGTATAATGTCTCCTCTCTCTCGCTCGCTGTCTTCTTTTTTTTCTTTTTCTTTACCTAACAGTCACATTCATCTCCTGCTCACATTTTGATATGAATGAGTGAATGACTTGACTGACAGCGCCCAATAGATAATTCTGTTTTATTCCAGCGACCTGTCAACCTCTTCACCTGAGGTCCTCCTCAGTAGAGATAATAATACACCGACTGGCATGCTCTCAAAATTCTATCAGCCACACGGTGCCAGAGGCTAAATACGTGCATCTATATATGATTTCTTGATCAAAACAATTCTCCTCTGAGATAAGACGAGGCTTTCGCATGGAGATGGAGGTTGCTTATCGCTGAAAAACAGGAATACGGTTTAAAAACAGCCTCTAACTACGGAACGTATAGGCGTTCCTCAACAGCCACCTGATTTTTTGAGTGAACATTTATGAACAACAACTGGTACAGGTGTTGTTATCCAAACCGGTGGAGCTCAGCTGTGACATCTGTGGCAGACATAAAAGTGCATGGGTCTATTAATCCAGCACTCGGTGGTTATGAGTTTGTGAGGGAGACCGAACCGAGGGCCAGGGGCCAGACACGCGCCAGCCACAGCCCACAGGCTTGCCAGCTGGCCTGGCTCCCCTGGGGTTCCCCGTTGCTCTGTCACTGCTGATAAGAGAAAATGGGATTTCCACTGGCTGCTGCTCAGCTGATGGCCCAGCTAAGATGTAAAACAAATGAAAGAGAGAGAGAGAGACAGACAGACACAGATACAAAGATAAAGGAATAAAAATTGATGACAGAAGAAGAGAAAGTATTTATCATGTTGGCTGCAGCCTCAAGTAGAAAGATCCATCCTCCCACATTCACCCACAACTATGACAGATGCCAAAGACAAAGATTTGGATTTTTGCTTTGTTTTGAAGGTTGTTTTCTCAGTTTAAGTCACATTGTTGATTTATTTTGGACTGTACTGTTCCACAAAAATAGTAATTAATACAGTGTGAATTTACAGTATGTGTTGTTTGCTGTGGGTGTTAGGGACCTGTGTGTGTGGGGAGTGTAACTGCTATGATGTGGATCCCTCTGGAGACTGGGGAGATATTCACGGAGACACCTGCGAGTGCGACGAGAGGAACTGCCACGCAACGTACGACCGGTACACGGACGACTTCTGCTCAGGTCGACAATCTCTTTTTGAGTTAAAATAAAAGTGCATTCACATTTTCGGCAGAATATTGTTTCCTTGAGACAGATATAGAATAGGTGTTTCCCCCTGTTTGCAATGTCTACACTGAGCTGAATAAACTGGCTGCTGTCTCTGGCTTCATATTTAGAGCCGACATGAGAGCGGGATTGATCTTCTCATCTAACGCTTGGCAAAAATTAAATGAAGCTGTCCTCTAAATTGTTAAAGTATTGTTTTAAAAAGAAAAGTGGCTAAATAGTGAGTTATAATTTGCAGCTACTGGGGGGAATAATATTGTTCATGCAAGTGCTGTGTATATTCATCTTTACATTTAAGTAATTCCACTTTCTTCCATTTGGCACCGACACCAACAGCTAATACTCTGGTGTTACTTCAAAGCTGTAAAAGTGAACTTTCCATATAACTTTGGGTGGGGTGAGAATGACCTTTTCGCTGTTTCTCCTAAGAATTAATGAACAACGTATAATAGATGCAACCACAGTGCCCGGCATTCATTAAACTAATCATTTCTGTGCCACAAAACTTACCTCCCGTGCTCTCTTCTTCCTGTTTCACACCAGCTCTCCTTAGCCCTCCTGTTAGCTCCATAACCTATCCAACTCTCCACCCTGCTTGGTGTGCTCACTCCACTTAATGCAGTTTTTTTTTCTCCCTCCTGTCAGTGCTGTTATATGATTTTTGCCTGTACAAAACCACCACTTTGTTTCACTCCTCTGCTCCCTTCTTCAATTCCCCTGGCAGGTCATGGCCAGTGTAACTGTGGCCGCTGCGATTGCAAGGAAGGATGGGCAGGGAAGAAGTGTGAACACCCTCTGTCCTGCTCCCTGTCTTTGGACAGCAGCCTGAAGAAGTGCAGAGGAACATCCAATTTGCCCTGCTTCGGACGAGGTACCTGGTCTTCCAGTTGCCATGGTTACTGTAGCAAGACCTATCCTCTGCTCTCACCTCTTGGTGTAAAATAGGCCAGTTTCCAGTCTTTATTCATCCTCAAGATTGGCTTTCAAGGTGTTAGTGTGCCCAGAAATCAAACTGGATAGCATGTTTAGCTAAGACATAAGCTTAACCGCATATGCCATCATTTTTATACATAAATGTGTGTGTGTTTGTACTGTAGGGATTCCATGTATATTTATTTTTTTGCAGGGCACAGCGATGTGCACTCATATGCATATGTGTGCAGGTTTATGTGAATGTGTGAGATTAGGTAAGGTGCGCTATTTTGCCCGCAACGATGTAAACCATGGCTGGAACAACTCTCACAGTACAGCGGGCTGTGGGTCGATGTGTCTAGATTGATTACAGTGCACTCTATGCTTCATTAGGGGCCCTTCTGGACAGAGGAAGCTTGTTTTCTTGGAGCCTCCAAATGTTAGGCCTAATACTAATATTAGATGCAGATCCTGAGCCAACGCTCGTGCTATCAAAACAACGGTCCAGGTTGTGCTTGTTGCAGTCATACACCCTTGAGCCTGTTGATGGATGACAGTAAAGTAAAAGTGGGGGAATAGTGTATTAGGCCTAGAAAACTAATAGGGCTCGGAAGTTGTGTGCTACTATTTACATAAATAACATTTTTTTTACACTGAAAACCCAGTTTTAAATCTTATCTGGATTTAGTTTTACACATTCATGACTACAAGCAACAATTAAACTTACTGAGGTAGTATTTATCAAGAGGTTAAGACTCAAAGCTCAAGTTATCAGAATCAGGATTGTGTGGATGTGGTTTGACTGACAGTGCTGTAATGTACAAACAGATTTATATTCAGATCATGTTAAATTCTGACTGCTGCACTGACGTATGTGACAGCAAAGCCTGAGTCTCTCAATGTCTGTCGTTTTTGTGTTCATGTAGGACTTAATCATGAAGTTGAGAAAAATAGAAAAATGTTTTTATAGCCTTTTTTTTTTTTTTTTGCTCTTGGGTTAAAACAGATATGTTGCACCACAACAAAATGAAATCTCAAGAATCACAGAAAACAAGCATTCCTCCACAACTGCTAATGCTGTAGCTTTTTCATGGTGGTTTAAAAAACATGTAAAGCACTTACAACGTTGTTTTGAGACCATTAACTGCTCAACGGCTATATCATCAACACACAAACCATTCATTAAGATTACATTGACTACTACAAATGCACATAGCCCAAAGCCTCTCAGTCAACAAAGGGAGAAACAAATTACTCACCTTTTGCAAAGCTACGCTGATTAATCTTGCAGGCAGCCTCTGGCCACATTTACAATGTACTGTGGTAAAATGAAAAACCAGGAATCTCAATGGGTAAGGTAAAAAAAATCACAGTTTGATTTTGCTATTCCAAAAACGAGCAGGTTAATGAGTATCTAAGTTTTAGTAGGGGTGGCATGCTGCCAGATGTGTGTGATCTTAGAAGGAGAAAAAGGTTGTGAAAAGCTAAAGCAAAACTATGACAAATTCAACATTTTACCCAAAATCAGCTGACTTGAATTTAGCATACTTTACTCAAGGTGCACAAAGAGAGCAACTGATGAGTAATGAATGAGGTGCTTCTGTTCTAGGCCGGATCAGAATTAATGAGAAGCTCCTCATGGAGAAAGATCCCTATGAACTGATAATTGCCTAATATTTCATCAATATAATATCGGCCAGACTGTTCCGTGGTAACTAATAATTATCTGCTATACAGTCCTTGATTCAGAGTTATTCAGGAGCTACTCATTAATGATTTATTAATTATTAAATCAATTCTAATGTATTCCTTAGTAACTGCTTACGTTTTTGCGTACCACACTGTGAAGTACTACAGATAATCAACTTGTGTGTGGATAAGACGTCCTGGAGGGCAAAAAAATGCACGCAACATGGAGTTATAGATTAGAAACTTAAAGCATAGCTGCCACACTGTTCATCCAAACATGAGAATCAAAAGGTTTTATTTGTCACGTGGTCATACAGTAGAGGTGGTGAAAACTCACTGTTCCACAAGGCTGTGTATAGCAACAAAATATGATTTAAAAAAAACAAAAAAAAACTTCCTTAAAAGTGGAAGAAGTCAGAAATAATGAAGGATAAGTTGCAGACCTGTAGGAAGGGCTCATGTTCATTAAATTCATTTAAAGATAAAAACAAACTGATAAACCCCTAATGCACAACTCTCTTGAAATTGCAAAAGTCCCAAGTTAATGTATCCATAGACTTGCCAGACATCGGAAAATTTGCCAGACAGATAGCGCAGTTAACAATGCACAATAGTCACATTACCATTGTCCCTAAACTGACTGACAACCTGCATTGTTCCAAAGTATGCTGTGGTCATTTGTTAATAAGACAAATTGTCTAGTTTCTCTGCAGCACACACACAAGAAGTCTTCCGAGGTATCTCTTGTACCTGTATTTTACACTGATGCAGCAGCCTTAATCAATCAGCTTTACAGCGCTGTACAGGCCATTGTTCAGTGCACCTCTCCTCCATTCTTTCTGCCCTAAATATTGTTGTCGTTTTCTGGGGAATACCTGGCAGTGTCTCATGCACTTCAGGAGAAGGTACAGTAAAGCCTGTTGTATTTTTTTGACGGTCTCACGGTGATTCAACTTAATAATGTGGTTGGCGGTGCACTATACTACAAGGACACAACCTGCTTGGTCTCAGGGCTCTGTGGATTTGTCAGGGCTTAATGTGAAGCATTGATTTCATGTTTCATTTGACTGTGGGGGAAGTCAGCGGGGAACCTACTGCTTTTCGACTGCTGCTACTCTAAATGAAAAGAAGGGATATGTGCCCTGTTATCTACTGTATGTTACTATAGCAGCCGTAGACTTCCCTCGTACCCATGGCCGAGGAAACTACTGATTAGGTCAGGCGCATGAAACCACATATGGCTAGGCTGCCACCATGGAGATAACGACATTTAAAGGTAAACGCCACACAACATAGGCCAACAGCGATGACAGCAAGTACGCTCTCGAAATAGAACCAATTTGGCATATTTTTAATTTGTCAACTATTCATTACATCATGTGTCAGACAGACTTTGATTTTGATGGCCTCAAACCAATGCCACAACAACAGGGTTGAGGACACATGGTACTCCCCCTCACATAATGAAACAGCAAAGATTAACTTGTGCAGGGAGAGTTAATTAGTTTTAATTCCTCCAGCAGTACCTTTAAATTATCTCCAAATGCTGCAACAAAATGGAACTTTAAATTACCCTGTGCAATAGAACAATTAATGGGATTCATGAATGCCTCCTTTTCAAAATTGTATTTTTTTTCCCCAGTCCATTCAGTAACAGTTGAAAGTGCACATTTCCGTGGCTGAGAACATCGTCGAATTAAGTTTTTCCTGTTCACACACCTAAATGGGCAATTTCTGACTCGGAATAAAACTGCGAGATGTTTTTCTAAAGTATCACTGTTTCTAACATCTGCTGAGGCCCACGGTTTATATCCATTACATGTCAAAAGCATTCTCTACATGTCATAAATTCACAACGTCGGCTGCTTCTTGCTCGTTCTCTGTTATTAGTAATAAATGTCTGAATGTATTATTCATTGCCTCTGTTCAAATAGAACGAGGAGCCAAACTGTCAGGGTGGTAACTATGTGACTATTAGTACACGCATATCTGAGTTTTTTATGGCGTGCATATGTGTTTTTCATGACTTCGTATTCACGGGAATGCCCCTTTGGCTTGGTGTTCGGGAGACCACAACAGTTGGAATCAAATGAGCCCATCGCACGGCTTCGGTGGCAAAAAGATGTGAACGAAAAGAAAAGGGCGACAGGAAGCAGGGTGGGAGAGTAAGAGACAGAGCAAGAGAAACAGAGAGAAAGCGAAGGAGACAGACGTAGAAAATCACTTAGGCATGGATGAATGCGGCTGGTACAGATGGCAGCTTGAGCGGAAAAGCCTTGAAATTTGAAACAGCAGCTTCAGAGCCTTTCTTCCTGAGAGATGGAGACAAGGCGCTTGTGGATAGCACATTCTTTATACTGTGGTATTTCCTCAAGGAAACACCTGCTTTCAACATCTTTCTGCTGATTCTTGGGATTCCTTTCTCTGCTCTCCGAGGAGTGGCCTGTAGTAGACATTAACTATGCGTGTGATTGTTAATATTTAAGAGCGCGTACCTTTCGCAACACAGTGTCTGACAACTGAGTGATTGCGTTTCATTGCTTTTAAACAGATATTTAACACTGTCTCTGTGTTAATGGCAGCACTATCTTTGAAATGAGATCCACTGTCTCTGAAGCGAAATGGATCGAGCGAAATGGATCGATTTCTTTGCCCCATTAATATCATTCACTTTTGCTGCATTTGTTTTAGACAACTATCACACACTTAAAGCATCCTGTTTGATAGGTGCAGCTCTTTAAAAGTTAATGGATTGCTTGCATTTGCACCACATGAGCTACACAAGGACAGGATAAGCACATCATTAGACTGAATTTATTATATTCGGTGTGATGCGGGACTCATTGCAGTTGTCACTGAATTGAAAATGAATTTAGGTCAAAAGAGAAGAAGAGAGGAGGCCAGAATTGGAGATAACAATGCTGCCAAAGTGTTTTTAAATCTGCTAGTTAGTGATGTTAAAGGATAAGCCTCTTTAAAGTCTTTCACTTTTTGTTTTATGTAGTAAAGCTGATGCCAGTGAGTACATTTAAATTTTCCACTGTGGCCCGAAGGTTGTTTTTTTTTTTGTTCGTGGTTTGTTTTTGTCCAGGTGCAAAAATGGAAGAAGCCCAAATGTACATGCATTGCAATAGCATTTTTGTGTTAGTTTCACAGCTCTTTGGTGAGAGAAGTGTCACAGCTGTGGTTGTGTTTATGCAGATCAGGCAATGCAGCAGAATTTTGGTTCTCATTTTTGGCATTACAGTGGATATGCATTTTAATTGGGTTCAGGCTACTGTACTGAAAATGTGACAGTTGTGACACACTGTAGATGGAAGACTCACACAAATCTATGGTTTCAAAATCCCACAAAGCTTTGATTTTTGTTAAATTTTGCAGCATTCTGTTGGATTTGAAAATTTTAAAGTTCACATCTGTAGCATCTTCCAGTGATGGTTGATCTGCTTCTAGTGCAGAATGTACGAGGCTTCCCTTCACATTGATTAAGTCCCTATAACCATGCTCTATCTTTCATTTTCATTTTGAATTTAAGTGAAGTTCTGCGTGATTTGTAAAGGGTGGATGGTTGAATTGTAAACTTGTACATATAATATGACTGTAAAATATTAAGCACTCAACCTTCTGTTTTTTGAGAATTAGACTCCAAGTCAATCTACAGAGACTTCAGGATTTAAAGCTTTGCATATCATAAGGCATATAGGCGGTATCCTTAATGAACAAGTCTAAGCTTTGTATAAGTATTCTTATGAAAATCTAACCTTCAAACATTATTTTATTTTTTAATTTTTTAAATCGTAGTGGAAATAATGCAAAAACTGCCCGCTTATGTAGTCATGTAAACATCAAACTTTTCTCATTCTGTTGTATTTTGTTTTTCTGTAATTAGTTTGCACCTGTAAATATAGTTAAACATGCAAACTGCTGATATCAGAATGAGTTTTGGGCACATCATTGCACATAAAGAAAAACACAGCTGATGAGTATTCATCTTAGAAAGGACACCACCTACATGTGTAGATGTGTATTTCAATGCATCCTGTTCTTGGGGGTTGCATTGGGAAAAAGATCTATTTTCCTTTGGGGGAAGGTGGCTTGGATTCTCCTCCCGTCACCTTAAGCTGGCTTTTAAAGGAAGCTGACTTGATTGATGTGACCACAAAAAAAATTAGTTTGCCACACCCTCACCTGCCCCGTTTTGTGCTCAGCTTAATGAAAACTGGGGCAAAACGGTCTGACGCGGGTCTGATGTGACATGACTATTAAGGTGTTGTTCACCTTAGACAGGATGACAAATTAAACATCAGCACACAATCACATGCGCGCACACACTGTTGTGTTTGACGACCACAGAGATAATCAATAAGGCAGGAGTGTTATGACATCACCGGTTGCTAGGGTAACTGAGTCCCCAGAGCAGATGGTGGTATGTTGTACGTGAAACAGGAAGGGAGCTCGCTGCACTGGTGTGTGTGTGATCGTGCGTGTTTGAGTGCGTGGTCATAAGAAGTGACAGTGATGTGACACGGACAACACATTAGATGACGCTGTCAGCCGAGTAGCTGTCTTGTAAATTCGTGTTCTGCACTATTTATTGCCACTAATTCCACTCTGTGAGTCATCAGAAGATAAAGCCAAGCACATGCACATTACGGACAATGTTTTAGGTGTTATTTAGTGGCGCTGAACACAAAATGTACCCTGCAGGGCTACAAACAAGGGAAAATACTCAGAGTGAATAATGATTGTGCAAAAAGGACATACCCGGCTCAATAAAAACAAGGGAAACGGAGAAAGAGGGGCACTCAGTGTGTTGCGCTTTAACCATCTGTCTTCGCTGAGCTGGGAAATTCCCTCTGTGCAATTATTTCTCTTGGTGGGCAGGTTACCTCTGTGTAGTCCTTCAGGGTGTCTCTCGTCTGCAGCATCAGTGAAAAGGAAAATTTTAAAGGTGACCGACTATGTATCTTTCTCCTTTTGTTGGTGAAAGCACAGGGCAGACAAGCTTTAAAAAAATATATGCCCTCGGTATCTCTGTATTATTAGGTTGAACCGCACCCCTCAGTATCATTGTTGCCAGTGTATTATTATAGTTACGTTATTCAATTCAAACAGCAATTAATTAAAGCAACATCTTATTCAACATCAACAAGCAACATTTAATAACTTTTGTATTGCACAGTACAGAATAGTGGTGAGCAGATGCAGTTATTTTTTAACATATGTGGACTTATAATGTTTCCTGTCAGTTGAATAAAGAGATTATAGTGGCAAATGTCAATATATTAAAACACTGTTGTAAGTTACAATTGTTGAGGAGTAACTGATAAACCCACAATGTATTTTTATAGCTGCACACAAGTCAGTCATAGCATGTTTAAAACCCATTTATAAAATGTTGTAATACTTTGTACAAATGCTTAAAGCAAAGCGTTATTGACATTTTCCCCTAAATCTGCAGATATCCGTGTGTGCACAATGTGCCTATAATTAATGTACCTCCGAGCAGCCTGGCGAAATGATCAATGGGCAGGTATGCTGCACACCTTCAACGATAGTTCAGAATAGATGATGTTTTTCTAATGAGCTTCACCATTAGCCAGCACACTCGCTCAGTAACCTCCCCTGTGGCCTTCTTCACTGGCAGCTCGCTGATTGAAGTGGGATCGCAGCATCTTGAGGTGTGTGTGTGTGTGTGTGTGCAGATGTAGCCGGTGATTTTGTGGCCGGAGGGAATGTTGTCAGGCAGATTACATCGAGTTTAACTTCAGGTATCACGTACATCTACACTAGATGTGCAGATCTAGGCTCCTAAAGTGCAGGTTGAACAGAAAAAAGTAAAAAAAAAGAAGATTTAAAAAGAAAAAAAGCAAGATAATTCTACTGAACAACCATTATATAAAACTCAACTTTCCTATGAAACATTGCTCAGATGTGAGAAAACATCTCTGTCTTTCTAGGTCAGTGCCAGTGTGGACAGTGTACTTGCCACCCACCTGGGGACAGCCGCGTTCACGGCAAAAACTGTGAGTGTGACGACCGTCAGTGCGAGGACATCAATGGAGAGGTTTGTGGAGGTGAGAGCACAAACACACACTCAGTTAATGTTTGTGTCCATTAGAGGCTCTGCATATTGCGTCACAAACTGACAATGTACACACAGCAAGTCAATGATTTGACATTACTGCTCAGGGTGTATAGTGTAAAGAAGGAGAGATGCTATTTCAGGCGTTTAGTGTACTAGAAGTTAAAGTACTGTTCATTTTCCGCATAGACAATGGGCTTCATGCAAGAACTACTCATATAAACAGATTTGTTCTGAAGTGGTGAACACAAGTGCCGAGTTTTTGTTGGCTCAGAATGTGCCTTTGGGGGGTGACTACAGACAACAGTAAGCATGATCAAGTCTGCTAACATGAAGGCAATGAGCCTGTGTTACCTTATTTAACAGAAATCTATGCATTTTCATGTTATTTCTGAGCATTTTGTGAACAAATGTGTCTATTTTGCTTGAGTAAGTGAAACCCCAACAAACAAAACTGATTAAAATGATTATTTGTGTTTTAAATATTCAATTCTTATCATTCTGGCACCGGTTCTTTTCCTTTGGCAGTGGCTACAACACTTCGAGGGGCGCCAAACATTTCTCTTTGCAGGAAAAACCCTGCAAATGAAATTAATGAGTAGTCTGGGCCTGCTGTAGAAGTCACGCAGATTGGATGCCTCTCCAGTGGGAAAAAGTTAAAGCGTTAGGTAACACTAGCAAAGCTAAATTTGTAGAGTTGCATGTGCTGATGTCAAGTAACCGGATACTGAGCTCTGTAATGTAGAATTCTTGGTGGGTGACATTTTTTGTGAATGAAACCCATCAACAAATCGAGTAGAAGTTGTAACTTGATGCAACAACATAATGTCAGATTGCGGTCATACAACCAAAACTCAGAGTAAAACTGTATGAAAGGTTTAGGACAAGAGTATAAAAATGTTCCCAGTGCAAGATGATGGACAGTTAGAGGACTTTAAAGATGATACAAGAGAAAGAACAAGTTTCCTGTTCCTCTGTTTCCTGCAATGCTTCTCGCAAGCCAAAGCTAAAACTTGTGCTTTGTAGAAACGTGAGCAGTTTAAACTTCTGTACAGCTTCAGCACACATTCATCCGCTCACTTTGAAAGCATGCCAATAGAATGTGAGTGAATTTGAAGATCAATACACCGGGAGCCTATCTGCTCTCACCGATATCCACAGGCACAACCCCCTCTAAACCCTCCAGCTTCATCTATGAGAAATTGCTTTAATCCTTTGAAGCTCCTGTTTGAGGTCTCCTGGAAGTTTGTGGTCTTAATTTGAGCCGTTTAGGCTCATAGCCGCTGTAATGGACGGATCACACAAAAAACGTTCGATGCTCATTTGAAAAAGATGTTTCCCATTGCAGATGTTGAGGCTGCCAGAAAAACAGAAAGAGAGAACAGAGGAAGTCAGATGAAAGAAATGTGCATTAAAGGACTGTAGTGCACCTGAAGGAAAGCAGAAAAAAATGATTATTTTTCCTCATTATTTTGAGCAGAGAGAACACACAGTATCTTTTGGATATAGGGACCACCTTGACATCTGCCCTTCTGTCTTTTCTGTACTTAAAGGGCTAGAAAAGTGATAAAAAAAAAAAAGACACATGCACAGCTTGTTAAGGACTAAAAGAAAGAGCTCATTTACCTCTCTAACAACAGTGAGAAGCATTCCCTCTACAGGTGTATCACTTCAATGTGCTGCCACAATTAAAATCTCAAATTGATGCGCTATCTGTCTATCTGTTACCATACAAATATGCATACATAAGTGCCCGTCTCTGAACAGGGCTTTTTAATGTTCTAGTGGGGCTGTGCCGTTTTGTATCAGTGGTGCATTGCAGCATCTGAGGGTAAATTTCTCTTTTAAAGTGGGGATGCAGTATTTATGTGAATGGATTACTGGCACTCATTGTGTACTGAGCTGTCCAGAGACAATCCTTCATGAGGCTTCTGGGGAGAGCCTGTCTGAGCACCAAACACCAACGCAGCGACGCACACGGAGCAAACACAAACACATAAAGCACACCCCCACACACGCATGCTGTGAGCCTGACAATTAAGTCTGTATACTCACAAGCCCGTGGAAGTTATTGGGTGTTTTGAGAAGGCTGAGAGGCACTCCAAACAAGGTACCTAGAGTGACAAGTGGGGATCAAACGGAAAGGAGCTTTATGGGGAAGGGGGGGTTGTAAGAAACTTCCCAAGCCAAGTGCTGTCAGTGCCCCTGGATGTTTGGGCCTCACTGCAGACAACAGAGGAGAGACAAGAGCATATAATTCAGTCCTTCAGTGTTAACAAGCTTGTCAGTCAGCTCGGTCCACGCTTGGCTCTGGAGAGTTTTCTCCAAACACAAAGAGCAAGGGGGACGGGGGCAGCCAAAATATACACTTTACACACTGCAATTAAGGCCTAAGTGCTCTTCCTTTAGGCCTCTGGGGGCACCTTTAGGATGCCGTATTAGATAGATGGTAGAAATGTTGGATGAAAAATGACTTTTGTCAGCTGTGGAGATGGTTATGACTGCAGCAATGGTCGTTGGAGGAAAATACTTTGTCAATTTCACACAACGTGCATCAAATTAGGGGTTTGGTTCACCTGGTTTCAACATCTGTTTGCCTTTTTCAGACACTTCTATATCATTATGTGTCAAGTCGGATATAAAGCATCACACCTTTCAACAAACAGCCGAATCCGACACACATAATTATGACTTGGGTCAGTGTTTAAAAGTCTGAAACCCGTCATTATGTTGACCTCCACAGGGATTGAGGATGGCATTAGCGTTTAGCTCTGCTGTCTCCAAGGCCTGCTGTGTATTTGCTTTCCACTTAACACTCGTGTTACTGTTAACATCAGTGATTGCTTTTCTCTTATGTACATGACTCCAATAAGACACGCTTAATATCGAGGCCTTACAATACATCTAAAAACAATGTTGTTGATGTTGTTCATGTCACTTGTGCTTTTTCTATCATTTTATTTTAAAATGTCTGCTGTTAAAGTTTCTACAGTAAATTGGTGCTGTTGGATACCTGGTTTGACCAGTCTGGAAGATAGTTTACAGGAGCTTTTGTTCAGTTTAGGGGCTGGTCCCAGAAGACTACAGGTCCAGACTGCTGCACTTCCTCCCTAAATGATAGTCCAGACACCAGAAATATTCCTGTATTAGGGCAGTGTTAGTGGAAACTATATGAATGATATATAAGAATGGTTCCCATTAACAAATCATAAATAATGTTCACAACCGTATCAGTAGTACCAGACAGGCTATAACACTTCCATTTCCCTATAGCATAATTTGCATCACATCCAGGCTGCTAACAAGAGGAAGTAGTGAAGTTTTTTTGGCTTCCATCATTGGCATTAATTAACAGCTGTGGCTGTTTGACTGATGTAGTTCAAATTAAATATTCACCACTGATCAATGAGCGGCTAAGTGTCTGGTAAATACGATGCAGTCACATGACCTTACATCAGATTGTGAATTAGATGGTGGGATGCTGAGGCCTAGAATTCATAATTTCTGATAAATTTGGGAAAGAGGAAATATAATGTTTAAAATGGGAGATTTAAACCATCTAGAAGCACACAGTTATGAAAATAAGGATCTTAAAATGGGACCCATACTGCTAAAATATATCTTTACAAGACAGATTTACAGACAGATTCCAGCCATCTGATATGTTGTTGTTTCTAGTTTCAATACAATTCCTAAACGATTCTTGAGATCCTCTATTAGAAACAAGATGAAACTTGCTCTGTAGTTTCAGTATGAAATAGATAAGACTTGATAAGACAGACATTTTTGCAGTGTGAAAACAGCATTTTATTAGAAGGCAGCTTAGGCCTTTTCCATCCTCCCTCTCTTGTCCCTTGTCTTCCTCACATTGTTTCTCCATGACGGTAAATTCTTACCGTCAGACAGACCCTCTCCTCATGCAGTACAGGTCTTTGCTGGGTTAAACACCAGTTTGCGCGACCACCTCCCCACCATCCCAGTCCATCTCCAAAGCACAATGCCTGCTCCGTGAAAGGCAGGTGCAGACTAATTGAATGAGGGCTCGGTTGCCGTTCTTCCAAAGCAATTAACCGCTCTCCCAAGCTGGCTGATTGAGGCAGCCATGCGTGGCCTGCCATGGCTGCCACTCCACTCCATCTAAGACAGAAGCTGGCTTGCTTTCATTTATGACTTCCTACCAATACGACCAGAACACACACGCATTCTTAATACACCATCCACTACCTTTACACCTCTGATTGATTTAAAACTCCTCCAGCACCGGAAAGTGAGGTGAGGTAGAGACTGTGAGACAGTGAAGGAGGACAGACAGTGCTGATATATTAAAGACACTCGCCAGCTGTTGATTTAACCTTTAAAAACTCAGCTCTGTGTATTGAAATTAGATATTTAGAAGGTTTTTTTTGACTGAAAATCGTCCCTCTTGATGTTAAAATGGCTAAAATCTATAACATGCATCTTCTTCAATATTAGTTCTAGTTCCAGCCTCTACCAGCTTATCTGGGACTCTGCTCTAAACATAATGATTTTACACAACACAATAGCAAGTTGTACTATTGGAGTAATTCTGCCACAAAGTCTAAAAAATAACTCAGGTGGCTTCTTACCGCCACCTAATTAATGCATGGTTGCAAGATAAAAAAAATCCAATTTATTGACTTAGATAGATGAGTTGGTTTGAGATAATAATGTTGGTAATCATGCAAACTTATTATCGTGTAATTTAAATGGAAAACATTCATTAATTGATTTCAAACTAAATCCAAATTGTTGTAAATGAATTAAAATGGCTTATCAGCTTATTTTTTCTCAACTTTTGAGTTCAGAAACTTGTGTTCATGATTCCAATT